TTTCCACCCGATCTGCTCTCTGTGTCTGATCCGTCTTTATCCCCTCTCCTCTGCTCCTTGTCTATCTCTGTTTCTCTCATCCTATTCTTCAGGCTCTCTTTTATCCGGATCACTCCTTCAGCCCTTTGATTAGCATACCAAAACCCCCCCATGCATTTCCCCCCACTGTTTAAGTGCTATTAATGCTAATTGGAGGCAGGGAACTTCACTAAGTAGCTTCATTCAGGTCTGTTTGTTCACCTGGTGGGGGGCTGTGTGTGTGTGTGTGTGTGTGTGTGTGTGTGTGTGTGTGTGTGTGTGTGTGTGTGTGTGTGTGTGTGGTGTGTGTGTGTGTGTGTGTGTGTGTGTGTGTGTGTGTGTGTGTGTGTGTGTGTGTGTGTGTGTGTGTGTGTGTGTGTGTGTGTGTGTGTGTGTGTGTGTGTGAGCTTGATGAAGGCAATTCAAGCATCTCCCTTTAAAGGTTATTCTGGTATTTTTTAACCTGGGTCCATTTTTGCATTCTTTGCGACATTTCAGACTGTTTGTACTCGTCAATGAAATGGATTCACTCCTCTCTTAGTCACTTCTATTCACTTTGTTTACTGATAATAAAACGGGTCATAGTGTTAGGATGCATCTGAGGCCACGAGGGCATCTCTTAATCCAAGTGTTTAAAATTCCTGTGGAATGACAAATTAAGATCTGTTAGCTGTGTTTGACTTTTGTCACTACAGTAGGAGCTTATCTCTGTGAAAACAAACCTCGGGTAGTCAGTAGGAGTTTCTGTTTTTCAGAGCTAAAGACATCAGTCTTTAAGGGTGCACTCACGTGAGGCAAAGTTGCTCAGCATGCTGACCTGCACTCACACTGCAACAGGACTAACCGGGCCTGAGCACGGTTATCTTGTCCTAATACAACACATGCATGGCTTAACATGATCATGAAGCGTGCTGAGTCTACAAGACAGCCAGACTAAAAAAAAAAATATGGACGCACGGTTGAGCCCTTATCCGCACATTGGCCATTAACACAGACAACCAGATAGAGCTACTTTGAAAAAAATATATATATATTTTTGAGCTTTTTGTGCCTTTAATGAACAGATAGGACAGTGGATATATTCAGAAATCAGGGAGAGAGAGAGAGTGGGGAATGACATGCGGGAAAGGAGCTGCCCGCTGAGAGGAGTACAGCCTCCACACATGGGGTGCCCGCACCATCCACAGCGCCCCCAGAAAGAGCTACTTTACTGACTTTGTGGCTTATATTAAGTCACTGTGGTCAGACACCGCCATAATAAGACTTTGGGATTTCTCGATAATGGAAGGCGGGGATCATGTATACTTAACGTCCATGTTGGGCACCCGTTCTTGTGCTCGTGCATGAGCACGTTGCGCAACTGTGTGGCTCTGTATGGCTCTTCCAACCGTGCCAGAGCCAAGGATCGGAGCACTCGCATTAGTCAAACAAACTGGACTTTGGGGGTTGGACATGATTGGGCGCGGTATGGTACAGATTGTCTTGTGTGAGTTCACCCTAAGGCATCCCTCACTTTGTACATTACATTATGTTACATGCAGCTTTAAACGAAGAGAGAACTCACAGGTGGCAGCTGGGACCTCTCATCGGAACACCAGTCTTTGCCTAATCCTTTTTAAATGGATCTTTAATAAAACCTCTAACACACACACAGAGCCTTCATTCCATGTTGTTTAGCTGAAAGCGTACGGTGCTTTCACACTTGTTCAAAACTTCAGACAAATTCCTGAATATGTTTTGAGTGAGTTGCATGTGTGAACGCAAACGGCCACATTTTTCACTTATGTGAGAACAAAGCAGGAAATATTCAGGACAGTTCACCACAAGCGAGCTGGAGAGGGCTGCTGGCATTTATATAGACGTATCACTTCCCCATGCCACGTAATGAAACTGCTTCATCATGTTTTCTGTCTGGCAGTACGTTTGCTCTTTGTTTGATTTTGTGTACGAGTGTTTTCATATGAGTCTGTTGCTTCTTCGTTAACTTTCATGTGGTTCGTCATGTCTTGCCTCATTTGGAGCACGAGTGTGCCCAGTAGGGATCGGCTGGAGGAGCTCCCCGCCCCTTCCTCTAACCACAACACACATTTAACTTACTGATAAATGCCAAAGATCCCTGTAGGTAGTCAGTCAACAGATTCTTTGAAGCAGACCCTTTCGGTTATAAAAAGATCATGGACTTTTATGTTATTGTTCATTATGTTTCCACTTTCCTCTCCTCCTCTACTCTGATCATCAAGTGCAACCAGCAGCCTCATTCGTCCACAGAGCTGTCAGTCATCGTGTAAAACCAGTTTTTTTGTAGCATCATACAACTAATTCAAACTAAGAGAAAAATGAACACATCAAATCAGCACAATAACAATTAGCTTCCCATGTTGGAAAAAATGGGAAATGTATTTGACTTATATTTTAATTTTGTAGTTTTGCCATCTGTTAACATGGAGGAGGCGGAGCTTACGACCTTTACTGCAGAGAGTCTGTAGGGGGAGCTCCAACAGTTTTGGCTTCAGTAATGGGGAGCAGTCATGACGTGCGAGTCTGTGGTTTAGTGTCGTGCAGTTTAAGTTCAAACAAGTTGCAGGTTAAAGGGAACATTTGGGTCCTCATCCTGAATCATTCTTTTTAAATTAATCTAAAATAAAACCTGAAACACGCAGAGTCTTCACTCTCTTTTTATATCTGAAATATACAGATTCTAGAAACATCTAAAGGCACTCACAGAAATGACTCCTAATGCAGACATTCACACATCATATCATCAGCAGGAGAAGACACATTCATACAAAGCAAGCTGCGCTAAACGTTTATTAAATGTATTCTGCTTTTGCACAAAGTCTAATTAAACTATCAGCGCTGCGTGTGTGTGTGTGTGATGAATGGAAGTCCAGATGAGTGTGTTTATTTAATCATTAGGATCCTCACAGAGGATGCCGTCTCTCTCGATGTTCTGCTACAGTTAGCACGCGCTGCACTGAAGGAGCAAATTGGATTGGTGTTACAGTACGTACGGCGGCGCCACGTCCTGATGAGCAGCCACAAACAAATTGGATTGTGTGGAGTGTAAATCTGAAGCGTTTGAAGGGACAAATTGAATTCTCAACAATGTAAATCTGTATCAGCTCCACTCCAGCTCGCTTAAATCATGCGATTGTTCCTGCTGTTCTCAGATACCATCTCTCTCGCTCGGTCTCGCTCTCTCTCTCTCTCGCTCTCTCTCTCTCTCTTTCTTTCTCTCTCTCTCTCTCTCTCTTCTCTCTCTCTCTCTCTCTCTCGCTCTCTCTCTCTCTCTTTCTTTCTCTCTCTCTCTCTCTCTCTCTCTCTCTCTCTCTCTCTCTCTCTCTCTCTCTCTCTCTCTCTCTCTCTCTCTCTCTCTCTGAGACGTTATAGCTGCAGCTCCTAATCTGTTTTTGATGACCGTGTGAGGATGTATTGGTACATATGGGCGGCTGAATCTCTCTCATTCTTCCAGTTGTATAAACACACACACACACACACGCAGCCTGTACAGTTGGCAGAGAGAGAGAGACACGCTGTGATTGAGCCATCGGTGTGTGTTGATTCAGGAGATTACTAAGACCATCGTTCAGACTTATGGACCTCCTGTTTTTTGAGGAACACACTCTGATCTCTGATGTCTCATGTTTATTACACTTCTGTTGATTCAGACGAGTCATATTTATCACTTTGCTTATTGCCTTTCCTCTGTTCTTCTGCTCTTTGTGCGGGAAGAGTTCATTATTACTCAGATAGCAATTAAAACATGTTTAAAGAACCCTAAAATGTTCCTTATCAGAGTCATATTCTTGCATACAGCGGCTGTGCAATGGGCTGCTTGTCTTGATTTTGCAATACTACGACCTTCCTCCTCTGCTTCTTCTTGCTTTCCAAAGAATCTGATTTCCTGTGCATGTACATAAAGCAAACTTTATGATCTAGATCTGACCCTACTTACAACTCGGTGAACGTGCATTTTGCACCCAGAGTATTTAAGGTGCTGCTACAGCACCCGTCCAAAGTTTAACACTTGGAAACTTGTATAACTCGTTTGTTTTATTCATTATTTCTACAACTTTCACTAGAATGCGCCCGGACAGAGCAGAAAGCGTCAAAGGCTGGAAACAGCTACTTTAATCTCAGATCTTTATGCAGAAAAGGAAAAGGAAATGTTGATTGCATGGTCAATAAAGTTTTATAGATTTCAAAGTCTGACCATAGACATAGAAGCAAAGAATGAATTGTAAGAACAAGGGGATATAGGTATTTGGTGAAAATATCGTCTTCATCTGCAGCGTGTGAATGGGATAAGTTAATACTGATGGTCTGAGCAGCCTCTACCATCAGTGTGTGAATGTGTAGCTTTGAGTAGTCAGACTAGAAAAAAAAATACAAGCCCAAGTCCATTTACCTTTAACCTACTCAGGAACAATGGGTAAAAACAGTAGAGGAAATCTACATCATGAAAGACTGACACAACGTTTGAGACTCCAAAGCTCAGACGGAGGACGAGTGGGAGAACTGGACCTCATTCAGGACTCAAAGCAGCGACGAGGACGACAGGAAAAACAACTGATACAGCTAATGATACTACTAACAACTACTGGAATTACTGTTCCCAAACAAAACCTTTGTTTTTATTTTTAAGAATATTTCTCCAGGACTTAGATCTATGTCTTGTTGGTCTATCAACATATTCATCTTTAGGCTTTATATGTGAACAAACGTTGAAAACACCAATTCAAATTGAAGTGACAAAGTTTGAAATTGGCCGTTCAGCATGGCCAGCTGTTGTCACAACCCTACTTACTGGCTCTACTGTTGTAGCTAAGAATTTGTGCTCTGTAAATCCGACACACAGGTGGAAGTTTTCACTTGAATTTGTTCCAGAGATGCTTTTAATTGACTCCCTCTTAAATTTCATTTGTATCCTCAAAACGCCGAACCCTGCCTCTCTGTTGTTCACCTGATGTATGAACTGTTTGTGTTCTGTTTGTGTGTCACTCCAGTTACCCGTACAGTGAAGACAGCAGTCAGGGGAAGCAGTACATGAACACCAGATGCCCCGCCTGGTGTGACCGAATCCTCCTGTCGTCCTCCGCCAGAGACCTGGTCCTAAAGGTGAGTCGAAACTCCTCCCTCCACTAAGAACGTCTCTGTCCCTTTATGTCTACAACTCCATCGTCCTTGATCCACATCCCCCCCTCCCGCCCTCCGTCGCCTCACAGATGGAGGGATGAGGTGTCTATGAATATTAATTTGGGCGAGCTAAAGCACGGGTCCATCCAGTCAGTATATATATCCCCGCACTTCACCCCAGCAGGCCTCCATCATCTTCATTAAGCCACAGAGCTGTCGTCAAACCCTGCAGGCCTCAAATCCATCGCAGCACAGTCTGCCGTCCCCATCCTCTCCGCCTGCAGTGTTTGCTGGATTACTGAGATCCACCGTGCAGCTCTGCCAAGTTCTCCCATATTCTCTGTAACCATATTCTCATTAAAGGGAGATTCTTGTATTTTCATATTTAGACCTTAGGATGATTTTTTTTGCATGTTTTGGGGGACAGGCTGACCATTTTTCTTTGGGGCAATTCTGCCAAATCAAAAGTTGATTCACTCAACAGATGATATGAAGGTGATCTGGTCATCTGAGAGGACTTGAAGCCCACGTCACTGATTGTTTTTTAATTGTTTTTGGACCTGTAAGTCATTCAGACTCCATGTGTGATGGTGAAATTAGGGCCAGCTTTTTTTATCGAGAGAGTTTTATCGATGTGGAAAAAAGGAACATTTTCTTTGCATTTCAGATTCTTTAGCTCTGAGAGTAAGCCCTGCTGTCTTGGTCTGTGTGTGTTCAATGCATGAAGGCTTTCATCTGTTAATGTGTGTGTGAAGTAGAAGCAGCGGTGTATTGTACAGTAACTGTTCACCACAGGGGGGGCTGCTCAGGAAGTTTGGCTTTCCTTTGTCGGCCACAAATGAGAAATCCCTTCCTGATCTTTCTTCTTCTTCCTCTGACTGAAGCCTGGAAGGAACAATCAAAAAAACAAAAAACAAGGACTGTAAAACATTTCAAAAATGATAACAGCCAGTTTGTTTCTGCCACTTAATGTGTCAGAATGATAGAAATACTGATTCACACACACAGCTGCTCTCTGTTTGCTCTCCTCCCCCCACTTCATGCTCCGGCTAATTGCTTGTAATGTGGGGACGGAGTGAACAGTTAGTGTGTTCGCAGATTGGCTGATGATTCACTGAGCACACACTCTGCGGCTCTCAGCGTTACAGATTGTTGAGACATAGGCCCGTAAACAGCCCGGTGTGTGGCGTCATCTATCATGGCACGGTCGGTTAACTCGCCATCATGTTATTTTCTGCTTGCCGAGCCCTAACACGGCAAAGGTTGCCCGCTGGCTGCGCGGCGCGGCACCAGCTCCGGGAGCGGCGGTAATGAATGTTTAGCCGAGCGAGCACTCCCTCTCTGCCGCCGGGCCCCGGGTAATTTGTTTATCTGTCTAAAGATTATGCAGCCCGAAAAAAATCCACAATTTTCTGCTGCCTTTGTGAATTATCAAGTGTGTGTTTGATGAATGTATCTGCGGCTCGGGGAGACGAATGGAGAGAGGTGGCGGTGCGAGGCCGCCGCAGGAGGCGGAGTGAGGTGCAGGTGTGCTGACCCCGCTCAGCTGCGGGATTGGTCTGAAGTTAATTTGGATTTCACTTTATGGTTCATTCTGGAGCTCTCTGTCTCTTTCTTCTGAAGCGCCGGAGCAGCACACCGAGTCACAACCCTGTGTGTGTGTGTGTGTGTGTGTGTGTGTGTGTGTGTGTGTGTGTGTGTGTGTGTGTGTGTGTGTGTGTGTGTGTGTGTGTGTGTGTGTGTGTGTGTGTGTGTGTGTGTGTGTGTGTGTGTGTGTGTGTGTGTGTGTGTGTGTGTGTGTGTAAAAAGTCTTTAGTTCAACCAGACAAGTGTGATTTATTCTCCAGTCTGCAGATCCCCGTGTGAGAGGGTAACAGCTTCTTTGTGTGCAGATATTGAAACATGATTTCCTCTGATAGGCTCTCAGATTACACTCAGAGAATCTGTGATGGAACAAAAAACGTGCACTTTGTGAATCCCTCCTGCTCTTCATTCCTCCTCACTGCACTGTGCTCAACTTTGAAAGTAGAATCTGTGCCCACTTCCTCCTGAAGGACTCGCTCGGTGCATCTCTGCGAGGGTCAGCAGTAAACCTACAAGAGGTGGGGTCTTTGTTAATCATTTAGATTCCTGAGAATCACAAAACACACCCTGGTGTGACCGGTCCCTGGTGAATCATCATGATGATGAAACATTCAAATACTCATACTACAAAGCAGCTGCTCTGCTAACCATGGAGACACACAGAGTAACAGAGCAGGACACAGTTTTGGTAACAATCAAGTTACAGATTCGTTGTGGAACCAGGTGAGTTGGTGAAGCTAAAAATGAATAAAGGCTAAATGGACTTGAGCTCTTCTAGTCTTCAGAATACTCAAAGCACTTTTACACTGCAGGTCACACCTACACATTCACTCACTGGTAGAGGCTGCTATGTGAAGTGAAGTGTGCTAGTATTAGCCAATCACATTCATACGCTGAAGACGGATCAGCAGGAGCAACTTGGTGTCTCACTGAAGGACACATTGGACATGAGCCGGGGATCAAACTCCCTAATCTTCTGATTCCGACTCTACCAATCTGAGCCACAGCCGCCCCTTGAGCGTGTTTAAATGGACTTGAGTATCTTGGTTATGAGCCTCATCCCAGTTGTGATCATATTTGGGACATGCCATTTACATGCAGACAGACATCTCATCATATCCCTGTATAGGCCTACATGATAAATACTAGTATCCTGGTTTTGTTACCCAAAGACTTGAATCCTGTTTCCTCTTGGAGTTCTTCGTGTAGCAAATCACGCTTCTCAAAATCAGGATGAGGGATTATCCTTATTTCTGAAATAAGGTTGTGATGTTTACATACACGAACACAAAAACAGGATGCTGAAAAAGCCCGATCAAAACCAGGGTCATATGACAACGTAATCATTTGTTGAATCGTTTTTTTATTTTTAACTATTTGTGGTTCCTATTACTGCTACTACCTTGTGCCAATACGTCCAACTCACAGCAGTGCTGATGTCCAGTGACTCACTCCCTCTCCTGTTCTATTTATTATGAAACATAAAGCATGTAACTTATTCTGTTTTCATGACCTGTGAATTTGTGTCTCTGCAGCCTGAAAATGAAGAGAAGTCCATAGTGTATGATAACATCGGGCCCAATGTCTGCATGGGGGACCACAAGGTAACTACTGTGTGTGTGTGTGTGTGTGTGTGTGTGTGTGTGTGTGTGTGTGTGTGTGTGTGTGTTCACGATGTGTCAGATTCTGCATAAGAAACAACCTTGAGGCTTAAAATCATCACCACAAATCAAGTGTTTGAATCAAACTGGAACCTTTAAGAACCGGTGATGAAAAGATCTTGATGTGTCTTATCACACAGTAGAAACAAATTCAACCACATCTGATCAGTCTGTAGCTTCCTGCGTGCACATGAAGTACACACCAGAGTACACACTAACTCCTTCACTGCAGAGTATCATGATTTAATTTAACCATATTATACTCAGCCCTATTCCACACTTTGTCACACACATGCAACGATAAGAACACATTGAGGTAATAACCCACCGAATTCATCTCCAAACAAAACTACAAGACTTAACTTCTATGTAACAGGAACGTCTCCAAACAGCTGTAACCTACGTTTGTGTGGATCAACATACACGATCATCCTTAATGCTTCTCTCTTCCAGCTGTAAACAAACATCACTTGTTGTCAATTAAAACTATTTTAACATACAGAAAAAACATGTCCATTTTACACTAAAAATGTGCTATATAAATAGAGTTGACTTGACTAAAACAAGTGAAAGCATGATGTCAAAGTGTTAAATTATGATATTAAAGTGTTAAATTATGATGTTAAAGGGTTAAAGCATGATGTTAAAGGCTTAAAGTAAGATGTTGAAGTGTTATTAAATGAGCAGCGGAGGTGCTAGAAGATAGATTTGTTTTCTTTGCAGTCAGCCATGCTAGCTGTTTCCACATGTTTCTAGTCTTTGTGCTAAGCTAAGCTAATCACCTCTTCTATTATCAGGCTAACCTTAAAACATGAAGCATTATCACACTTTATATCCTCACGTAAAGCAAAATGAATCACTACAGAAAGAATGGTCTGTCATAGAAATGTAGTATCTACAGTGGAGTTTGACTTAAAGGTTGAAGGAAACAGCCAACAGGAAGGATCGTCTTTTCTTTTTTTTTAAAGCTGACTGTATAGAAAGTTGTTTAACACTGTGGCTTCAGTCTCCTCCGTGTCAGACAAGAAGGTCTTACCCTGAAAGAGAGGCGCCTGAGTCAGGTCTTTCATCAATACTCAGAGTGTCACAGACAGTAGTGTGTGTGTGTGATGTGACCCGAGCACACTGAAGGATACTGCAGCACGGCTCACCTCCCCGCCGCACACTGCGCTAAAATCACACACAGCTATGTTAAAGAAATGTCCGATGTAGTTAGCACGCGGGTACAGAAATGCACGGCACCGCTGTGTGAGTTTAACCTGCGACTCCTCCTCAGAGAGAGAGAGAGAGAGAGGGAGGGAGCATCAATAACCTGTCTTCTCTGACTGTCTCTGCCCCCCCCCCCCCGACCCCCCCCCTCCAGCCCGTCTTCCTGTCCTTCCGAATAACAGCGGGGGCAGGTAAACCTAATGCAAATAAGCACAAGTGTTGTGTGGTGCAGTGATGTCGTGGTAAATATTAACTTTTCTTTCTTAATATTTCTCACACTTGTTGCTATTGTTTGCTTTGACTTGCTTGATTGTGTCACTACGAGTTGGTTCTGGAGACAGATGAGCCTGTTTGAGATTTGATTGGTTAAAATGCTTCTGACATTTTAAGACATTCAGGCAGAATTTCTGTGTCTTTTAACATGGGGGCTCTAGTTTGACATATTTTCGGGGGCTAAATGAAGAATTGGTGCAAAAAGTTTTTGAATTGCTCCGCTTGGATTACAGCCATGACGACGGCTGCAATATCTGCAAATTAATCCAAAGTATGTCCAGTAAAAGTTGTTGTTTTTGTCTCTGACAGGAGCAGATTGTTTATCTAAGTGTCTGACAGCATCACAGGAAGGATCCCTGCAGAGAGAGCTTTTTGTTAAACAGCCATTTACATAATTCTTCTTCTTTAACCAGAATCAACATAGTTGTGACAGTGTTTTTTTTTTCAAACCCCAGACTCCATTGAGAAAAACAAGTCACTTGACCTTGAAGAACGCACGAGTCTCTGCTCTACTTCTGATTTGACTTGTTGGTCTTGGTGTTAGAAGCTTTCAACCCGTTTAAAACACCCATAATTATGGGATAATAAGAGTCCCATAATTACATAAAAAAGTCTGGGGGAATAAATTGACTGATTTTGGTCAATGGAGTCTGGTGGTTTTGAAAAGCACGCTGTTACAACTGTTTTTATGTTATTTATTTTCATTTTTAATGTTCATTTTGGGCTCCTATGCCTTTTTTTAGAGACAGACGGTGGATAGAGACAGAAATAATGGAGCGAGAGAGAGAGAGAGAGAAAATGGGAATTGACATGCGGGAAAGGACGGGGAGCGCTGATAGTCTAGCGGTTGGGTCGCATGCCCATGTGCAGAGGCTATAGTCCTTGTTGCAGCAGCCGTGGGTTCGAGTCCAGCCTTGGCCCTTTGCTGCATATCGCCCCCCCCACTCTCTCTCCTCTTGGCATTTCCTGTCTCTATTCTGCTGTCTTATCCAATAGCGGCAAAAAGACCCAAAAATAACTTTGCAGGACTACATGGGGCGTGACATAACCACTAGGCCAATTGCACCCCAGTTTCTATATTTCTGTTTTTAAAAAGCGTCTTTCTCTCTAACAAAAAAGCTCTATCTCTGCAGGGATCCTTTCTGTAATCATGTCAGACTCTTAGACTAACAATCGGAGTCCTTCAGGGACAAAAAGAAATCTTTTAGAGGCAGTTTAGAAACTTTTTGCTCTTTTTCCAATTCAGACCCTAAAATGTGTGAAATTAGGGCCCGTGTTCAAAAGGACAGAAATTCCCTTTTCACTCACAAACTAGAGCAGCATCTTGTTTTCTAACCTTTTTCTTTTATTTTTAAAGTCGGCACCAGGTCATTTTTTGGTTTGATTGAAATGTCGGCTTCTTGCTGAGGAATGAAACGTTTCTTTTCCCTCTCCTCAGGGAAGTGTTGCCAAAGGGGGGAGCAGATATTCCGTGAAGCGCCTCTGTGAGAAGAAACAAACAGGACACCAACACACACATGCAAACACACACGCACAAATACACACACACACACAAACACACACACTTTACACAAGCGTACACTGAAGACAAAGTTTTTCAGCAGTGCTGACCAGTCACAGTTGTCCTGACACCTCATCCATACGAAGCCGTTTTCTCTCCATAAAACACTTGTTGAGACGTGGACGAGCACCCGAGGCCCGGCTCCAGACAAGACACACATCGCTGACCTCACTGTTGCCATGCAACCCCCCACCCCCACCCCCCCATTCCCCAGAGAAGGAAAAACAGGACGGACGGACGGACGACTCTCTTCCATGCCACAGCCTCATTGCCAAAACTCTAATTGAAATCAGTCGACTACATGTTTAGACACCGCACTCATCCATAGGTTTGCCTCTGTGTATAGAAGCTACTCTCTCCACACAGTGTGTAAGGTGTTTTAAAAAAAAAAAAAAGAAAAGTGCAATGCAAAAAAAGTTGTCTTATCTATATCGTTAGGGTTATTTGTACATTGGACAGTATAACATAGAGTTGTTGATGGTTTTAGTGGCGTTCTCTTTCTGACCAAACTTTGAGGTCCTTTTTGTTGGAAGATAGATTTCAACAACTTCTCTCTATATATAAATATATTTTTGTTTTTGTTGTTGTGTGCACAACACACTGCCATGCCTGACACATCCGTTGAGTCTCATTTTATATACTGTACTTTTTAAAGAGATAATTTATAATTCTTACCAAATGTTTGTGCAGACTGTTGGGTGTTCCTGCAGCACCGAGGAGAGACACTCTGTGTGATTTATTGCCTATCCAAGAATGTTTTAAGCAGTGCCATAGACCATGCAAGTATATAAGATAATGTCTCATATATAGCACTCTCACGTTATGTCATTATTACTCTAACTTATTTCTATAATATTATGGTTCTGAATGTGATATTTTAGATAGGCTTGGGTATCCTTAAAATGTAATTTGTCCGTTTTTGTTACTGCATTTTGGTGCCAAGTATCCACACAGACATGACGTGTGTCAGAGTTCAATGTTTAAGTCAGACGGTTTAAGGTGTTGATTATGAAATGTTTTAAAAAAAAAAAACTAGAGAGAAACTCTAAACGCGGGAAAGAGCAGCAGGAGGAGGGAGGAGGAGGAGTTGCTTTTTATTCGTCTGCTCATCGCGGATCATTTGAGCATTAAAGGGGAGCTCGGAGACGCCAGCGTTTCCTTTTATCGATTTCATTTCCTACACTACAGATTTCAGACTGTGTCAAACCGTCACATTGATCCTCCCTGATTTATTTTATTTTATTTGCTCTTACGTTTCCATCTGAATCACTGAAATGATTGAGTGCCTGCTGCAGGCTTTCTGTTCTGCTGCTGTGATTTTGGTTCAAAGTTTAAAAATCGAGATAAATCCCGCCTGCTTCTGTTTGGGTTCCTGCTGCTCTGTGTGAGTTTACTGTAGGAGTTTTTTAAGCTGCAGTTTGTGTTTTTTCTTCTTCACTCCATCTTATTAAAGCAGATAGAGATTTGATTCTTTAGCCCCTCTGACGGCATGGCCTCTATACTGTAGGAGGTGATGCAGTTCTCAAGCAATAAAAAACCATTAGAGCTCAACCGGCTGTTTGTCCTCATTATTACAGCTCACATGACCTCTTCAAACCTCACACACCACATCCTCAGTGTCTTCTTCCTCATTGGACACGAACTGTGTTTCTACACGGAGATGATGCACCGACGGCTCCAAGAGAGATGGGCCTCCAGCCGAGCCAGGGACCAAAACACATTTGTAGAGTTTCGATTTTATATTAATTGAAGTTACTCCCAATTTGCTGATATGTCCTCAGAATTAGTCAAACATCGCAATGAAAACCAGCAAAGTAGCTTACTTCTTTTTTTTCTTGCTTTAAAAAATGTAAAATCTTTCCAGATTTCTGGAATGAAGGAAATACAAGATAAAACTGCAACAGGGTGAAACACCTTAAATACATCTATAAATAAATCTATTTTACTATGCATATAGGTTATGCGCCAATAAGATGCACAATGGAAAAAGAACTGTCAACATTTTAAGAGCCGTATGTCGCCTTTTTTTGATCGTAAGTTTCCAAAGATTCAACTTTTTACAGATTTTTTTAAACAAACTTCCAGTAGATTTTGTTAAAATCATAAATATAAAATAACATTTGATCTAAATTATAAACTAAAATCAAAAAGCGTTTAAGTGGGGAAAAGGGAACTATAATTTGCTCTTTATATTGTCCACTGTTTCTGCGAGAGCGACGTAAATGTGAGAAAATATAAGTAGGCCATACTTGGTTTCCTTCAGTCGGATCCGCTTTAAGCAGCAGCAGGTGTTTAATTCACACTAATTCAATCAAATAAAACATACAAAGTTAATTTGATTTGATGGCTTATTATTTCTGATTGGCTGAATCCAGAAGTGACGGTACGTGAAGCTCCAATAGCGTTCAAATCTGCATGGAGGAAACAAATGGGTGCAGTGCCATTTAAGGACAGAGGGGGCGAGCTTCTGTCAAACAGCTCCACAGCACTGGGTTATATAGATTTATACTAAACAAAGAACTCTTGAGGCTAAATAGTAAAACATTATTAACAGCTGAGAAATAAATCTTAATTTAAAAATTACTACGGAAACATAAAATGGTCAAAAAGAGTTTGTTACGCTTAGAGATTGAG